GTTTCAGTTTGAACGGTAGCTCTAGTAAACCGTAAGCATGTGCTTTGTAAGCTTCACGACTAACTACTTCCTCCAAGATCAACTACGGGACTCGCTTACTCCAAACGAGCTAGCAGCTATGATATGATTACAACATGGCGTACTCTACGACCACACAGCGTACTTCCTTTATCGCCCGCCGGGCTAACTGACCTTTGTCTTGGACAACGTAGAAGTATCTAATAAACATTCTGCCGTCCAGACCCATGTACAACCATGCAATATGGTGGCGTCCCAAACGATAGCCTGAAGCTATTGTCATCTGATATGTCTCAAAACCAGCCATCCAGAAAGTGAATGAAGTTAGTCTGGCGCTCAGTTTTCTCCATTTGTCTCAAGACCGAAGCCATTCAGGATGATGTATCAATAATTCCTTCATGTGACCATGATATCGATTGAAGTCTGGCGGCTACGAGAAAGAGATCCCGACTGACCCGGTCATCGAAGCAGTCTACTGAGCGAATAATAATGATGCCAAGTGAAAACAAGGATAAGCAAGTGAACGATTTTCTAGTGAACGTACCAAATCGGATGCATGTCGATGGATAGCCGCGACCCAACGGGCTGGGTTGGTCCTGCGCCACTGTTGGTACACGTGTCAGAGCTACGATATATCGAATGACAAACTGAGCTTCAAGCCATGGTGGTATCAGTTATCCGGCCAAGTGTTGGAAGTAGATGAGAGCTGACGTTGAACCTGGTGTTACTACTACACCATTTCTAGATATGCTTTTTGCTTTGAAGGCTTCCATCCAAACCATGGCAATCAACTACTTCAGCACCAAATGAACCATCACGTGAATTGTACTACATGCATGCACGTGCGATGCACTTTGCACAGAAATAATAAATGTACGATGGAAGGTATGCAGAATGTTCGGAAAATAGCGACTAGACGACGTGTCTATATTTTCTCTGAGCTGTAATTGGCCGCTATTTTTAAAGATGTGGGGTGGTCGGCTCCGCGCTTAACGATAGCGGGACCCCGCTATCGTTATCGTGACCCCCAAAAAGTTTGGAAACAAGACCGTCATGGCCGCCTTCGAGACGAATCAACCCACGAAAATTCATGCGATAACCTCTGAGACTGGAAAAACTCATCTTCATTTGCTTGTTCACCAGATGTAACACGCCTCTTCAATTTTTCTGGCATTCGCGTTGGTTTCAAGACATGGTGAGGCTCGAAGCGCTGATATAACTGTGCCACAATCCTACATTAACGTGACCTCATGGGGCCAAAACTAAGAATATGCCTACTTGCATGTTGTTTTTAATACCACGGCGGCAAACAAGAATACGCTAGGCTAACCATGCGGCCACGCCAGCGGTTATACACCCGCTCTGTACGGCTACACCCTCACCGGTGCGTCGGCATGACAGCTCCCGAAGCCTACGCCGCACGCAGGTGTCAAGGCAACTGCCCTCAGCCGCCTATCTTGGCATGCTTTGCTGGAGGTTGGGGACGGGTCCTTGCGCCTAGCTCGTGCTCTGAATGGTGGATGGCTTCGGTAATGCACCGATTCCCAGAACCAAGGCATAGTTTGTATGTACGCCGCAGTAACAGCCATGTTTGACGTTTCTTGGATGGTCCAATCATATGCATGACTATTGGAGGCTTATACTACAGCTCGGTGTTGTTATAGTAGTACCTGAAGGTAGCTACTGGGAACCATTCCACAGCTTCCACCTTAGCAGGCATCTCTCCAGTCTGCATCATAGAACCCCGCCATTTTCTTTCCTTTTTACTATTCACTCAAGTAGCCCATCTTTAGTGGCTCTTTTTAATGCCATACCCGATTATCATTCCGGGTTCTTCTACACAAATGTCTCAACCACAGAAGAGTCCCATGCACTGGTCCGCCTTTCCCGACGTCCCAATATACCTCGACACCGGGAACAATGGACGAAACATGGGAAGAACATATGGAACTACACCAACAACACCAACAACACCAGAGATCATTCCACAAAATCGACCAACGTTCTTGAGTCCTGCACATGCAAATGCAGTTCCCGTCAGCCCTGTCGAGCCGAGCCCAACCACCACTATCGAAACTTCAAGCCATCGCTCAATGGTCTGGCCAATCCCTGAGCCTCCACCAGAGGTTGTTCAACAAAATCAAACAAGACGTCCACTTCTACGGTTCTTTCCCACCGACCGCCCAAGACTTCGGCTTGAAGGGCTTGGTGTCAACGCACCAATGCAATATGATCCTGAGAGGGCCGATAGCAAGCACTCGAGCATACCCAACTCAATTATACACAACAACGGTCTTGGTATCCGCGATGGCCCACCCCATGCACCTCATATATACATCCAGCCTCCGCCTGTGGAGAACGAGAAGTCCGAACCAGCTCCGAATATCGCACAGCGCATCGAAGAAAAGCTGTGGCGATGGAACTCGTCCGGCAATGTCGTGGAGCGATGGATGCTGGAGATTGTTAGCTGGCTCATCAGCGCTATATGCATGGGAGCCATCGTCGCCGTCCTGATCGTACTCAGGGATCAGCCCGCCAATAAATGGCCATTTGACAACATTGGCTTTACTCTAAACGCTTTTGTCTCCATCCTCTCTCGAATCGCTGGTGCCGCACTTCTTCTCCCAGTTGCGGAAGCCCTAGGCCAGTTGAAGTGGAGCTGGTTCATCAAGGGTGATTCAAAGAAGATGTGGGACTTTGAGATGTTCGACAATGCATCAAGAGGTCCATGGGGTGCATTACTGCTCCTCATACACACTCGTGGGAAGACTATCGCCGCCCTCGGAGCCCTTGTAACAATATTCTGTCTTGCTCTGGATCCTTTCTTCCAGCAAGTCGTTAGCTTTCCCGAGCGTTGGACGTTGCAGAATGCAACTAGCTCGATACCAAGAGTCATTCGATATGAACCGCACTATCCTGCAGATTTCATAAATGGCGAAGTGGCCATTCAATTCGACCAAGATATCATGGCGGTTGCGGATACATTTTTCCTCGGTAACGGCACCCAAGCAATACCGTATGGAAATGGTAGCCGCCCCGAAATTCCACTGACATGCCCAACGAGTAAATGCACATGGCCCTCGTACGAAACTCTTGGAATGTGCAGCCAATGCGTCGATGTATCACAGCTCCTGACGTTTACATGCATATTTACGCAAGTTGATTGGACATCCAAGCTCAATGCGAATGTTTCATCATATCCTAATATGACCGTGTGCGGCCACTTCCTCAACGCGACATCTGAAACACCAGTACTGATGTCTGGGTACATGGTTGACGATAAAGGCGAGCCTGTCGGGGAAGCTTTATTGATGCGCACCCTGCCACTTGTGACGAACCCGGAACGACAGTTACTCTGGGGTGGATCAATCAACTTCAAGGACATCCGGAATCCCATTGCAGATGTTCTGATCTCCAGTTCAGTTGATCGGGCTCACGTCTACTCGAACCATACCCCAGCACTCCACGAATGTATGGTGTCATGGTGTGTAAAATCCATGGAATCATCATACTTGTCGGGAATCTATCATGAAAATGTTGCGACATCTTTCTACAATGACACTAATGACGGTTCTGCATGGAATAGTACGTTCGATCCAAGCGACGGTGGTTATTGGATTGATTACCTTGAGAATATAACCATTTCCACGCCATCTACCAACCCAAATACCACCGAGTACGACTGGGGTGTCAACTCAGAAACAATGATCTTCACCGTTGAGGTTTTTGATCGCATTTTTCCTGCATTCACAACTGCTGCAGATGATAAAAGTACTCCTTTACTGAGGTGGAGGACTGGGTCTTTCGAAGAAGTTCGAACTAGGGCACCTGGTTTCAACCCGTGGCTGTCTCCCAACAATATCACGCACCATATGGAACGAATGACGGAATCGATAACAAATGTTATTCGGTCTTCCTCGAGCAATGAAATGATCCATGGCGAGGCATTTGAAAAGGACGTATACGTTTCAGTCCGTTGGGCATGGCTGTCTCTTCCGGTCGGGTTACTACTTGTCAGTTTTGTTTTCCTGTTAGCAACGGTGGTCAAATCTGCAGCAGAAACGGACCAAGTGGGCGTTAGGAAAAACTCTGCTATTGCAGCACTACTATATGGCCTTCCCGATCACTACCAAAAACGCCTCGCGAAGCCCGACCCCAAGATGACCCCAAGAGCTAAGGCTAAAGATTTGAAAGTAAAATTATCCCCAACTACAGGATGGAGAGTTTCCGGCAACGTTTTCACCCCAGTAACTCCAACCATCCCGAGGAACCTACCACCGCCAGGGTGGATCTGATCTCTCCCTCATTAAATCAAAGTATTATTCTCTTTCCCAAAATTCGGTTCCGAGATTAGAGAGCATCACTTGCTTGCACCACCAGGCTTTTTCTTGTATGCCCTCTTGCTTGCACCGCCAGGCTTCTTCTTGTATGCCCTCTTGCTTGCACCGCCAGGCTTCTTCTTGTATGCCCTCTTGCTTGCACCGCCAGGCTTCTTCTTGTATGCCCTTTCGTCCAGACTAACAGGAATATCTTCACTAGAAGTGTCATCCAACGTTTCGTCTAGCAACTCAATCCCGTCCTCGTCCTCGTCCCTCGCCTCCACTTCGACTGCTTCATACAATGAAGTCTCGCTCGGGATGGCTTCGACCAATGGCTCTCGCTTGAAAAGATCTCGATAAAGCCGAGCGATCAAAGGCCCTCGTTGTTCGACCGCAACGTCATCACGCAGAACAACCTGTACAAACGGTCAGCACGAGTAATCAATCATCAACAGGAATGGGTGATGTACATTGCTAGCGGGTGTAGGCATAGCCACGATGGGCATCGCCAGAGATCCAAACAGGAAGAGATTGCGAACGTGCATGATGCAGTCGGGAATTAAGTTCTGTCGCTGTTGGATATCCCCGGATTTCAGGCTGGTAGGTAATGGCCTGGAAAGAGAAAGACGTTGGCACAGCCAAGTAAGAATGTAATACAAAGGAGTGGTAGAATCTTGGTTATCTTCCTCTGATGTTGGCCTTCAGTTGTGGGATCTGTCGATGAATTTATTCACAGTGTCAGATGCAAGACAACAAGAGTCAACCGACATCACATTACATGCCCATTTCCACCTTCCATCCACGGCGCTTCAACCCGCAGCGACCTTCTCGACGATAACCGCCTTTGAGGCCACCGAGGCGACGCGGCGCGCATGGAACGAGCGTACACTGTGGTTCTGTCATGCGCATGTTGCGCGGTCATTGGAGGAGCGATGTGAGGGCATAATCTCTCGTACACCAATTCGGCAAGGTGAAACGCAAGAGCCAATGCAGCTGGAACACAAGGCGTTAGGCGAGACTTTGTGCATGCCTGGTGATGCGATGTGGAGGAGCGAAAAATTGCCTGGCATTCTCATCACATTGAGTTGTCACATTGGAAGCGCTGAAAGGGCACACTACAAGGCAATCCTGTAAACGTGCGATATCTGTAAGTCTACATATTTTACCTACGAATTCCTAGTATCGCAGAACGACTTCTAACCAATCGATAGATGTTATTGATGTGACGTGGCTTGGCGGCGTTTTGCAACCCGATCGAAGACAAAATGATTGGCTTTCCGCAGTCGGTACCTTACGCCAATCAACCGTTCTCGCGACCTAGTCACAACTCTTCGACGCACGTGATGTGCATCAGCGCTACGCTTTCTTCTATACCTTTGGCGGAAATTCACAGAACTCCAATTCACAATGTGATTATGAGAGTTCTAGTGATGATGTTGCTATAGCGTTCTGTAGTTCTTGAATTGGTGGCGTCTATACCCCTGTTTGGCATTCCCAGTGAGTGGGACTTTCCTTGATGATGCAATCATCTTATTGTACAGTACCTAGCAATCTTGTTGTAAAACATCAGCAAATTTCAATGAGACCTATTCAGTTTACTTGGCCTGTTCAAGCACAACTTCGATAACAGATACAGCGTTGATTGTGACATTGCAAAGACAAGACTCAGGTATGTATCAGCGGAGTTCCGGGGTAGACTGGGGAGATGAACCAACCAATCACATATCCCGGTTAAGCGCCCAATCTCAACACTGACGTTACCAGGCGTGCTACCCTGATGTTTGAGCGGGACACTGACATGAACGTAAACCTTATCGAAGACCTCATTCATGCAGCTCCATTTCATCTTCACGTCAATTACAATAACCTTACCTACATCCATGCAGTGCATGTCTACACAAGTTTCTGAATATCATGCGCAATCTATCACAGTGCCTATGCAATGTGATATTGACTACACTTCGGTTCGGATCTCCACCAGTCCCAGTACCAAGGTTTTCATCGGTGTCCCTGTACTTGGCCAGTTTCTGGGTCTTGTGTGTTCCCATACGGCAGCTCTCTTGGCTGACCCGATTCCACATGGTGACAGCGTTTTTGGGAGCCACCTCATATCGTTCTGCATACACTTGCAAAATATTCAATAAGAACATCCATATGTACTAAGCACCTCTAGGAATCATGTAGCCCTGACTTATCACCTGACTCTTGGTAACTCCCACCTTCGTGCACCATGATACCTGTTTACTGCAGGTTTTGCGGCTCATGCATCTTCATGTTACAAGCATTCACTTTTCGCTGAGTATATACTGAAGAAATAAATATGCCATTGCTAACATGTTCAGATGTTACTATGCGCTTTCGACGCTTGAGAGGAATCGCTAATTGGTAGCAATAGAGCTTCGATCATGGCACTTTGGGCTCGCCCAAAGGACCAAAATCGACTTGATTTCAAGTGATACTTCTTTTCAGGTTACCCTCACCCTATCCATATACGATGCCTATTATGATATTGATAGCGCCATACATCTCGGTATGCTCTTTAAGTTCAGCCTCGTACGCCAGACTGGGCAGCAAATCATTTCTATCAAAACCCCGACGCTCATCGTATATTGCCAAGGGAAGAAATTCGCCTTGCGCTGTGCCTGGTAATCATGCCTCCCAATCGTACCACTTCCAGCGCTTATCTATTGGTGTAGCCCACTCCGGATCAACAGCTCACGCGGGACGGTGGTTCTACGGACACATTGCGCCACGGCGCTACCACGAGCTTCTGCTCCATGATTGGTGCAACTGCCACCCTTCCTCCCGAAGCCGCCCAACGCTCAATGTGTTGTCGAGTTACAGCGCTAAGGACATCCATGCTACAGGTCTGATTCTAAAGCCAAGTACACTTATATATCCAAATGACTGAGTCGTCTGTTCTGGATTCGCACGTATTACCCTAGGCTGTTTTTCGAAGCGCAAATCTACAGCCCGATCATCTTTGCTAGATAACGTACCGCTCGCTTACCAGTAGCCGATAAGCGCCTGGTCCTTGGTATCTTTATTCTTGCAAGAAGGTCCGCAAGTCATGGCTACGACTACCAATGATGAGCCTCATCGCCTTATTCAAAACATCACCTTCGGTCATGGATCATCTCTTCTCAAATCTTGATCAATAGTCGTTCATACGATGACAAGAGCACAAGAGGATATTTTACCCTTTACTTCCAATGAATCTCAGTTTTCATACATGCCAACAGGCGAAAGTGCACCCAGACCACCGCCTAAAATATATCGAGCTGCTGGAGACGAAAAGCGCCGGTTCGACTTTCCAGGCCGCCTCGAGCAAAAGCTTGCACAATACAATGCATCCGAAAGCACTTGGAAGCGTTGGTTGTTCGAAATCATAAGCGTAACAATAAGCGCAGTTTGTATGGGTATGACACATCGACCCACTCACTCGTATGTGTATAAACCACTAAGTGTCCCAACAGGTGCAATCATTGGGTTGCTATCTCACGTGAACAACAAATCTCTCAACGCTTGGGCTCCTGCTCTGACCGTCATTACGATTCTTTCAAAAGTGGCATCGGCAGCACTCATTTTACCCATATCAGAAGCGATCGGACAGCTGAAGTGGACTTGGTTCCATGGAAAAAAGTCCAGAGATGCATTTGATTTTGAGATCTTCGACAAAGCATCACGTGGAGCATGGGGCTCAGTCATGCTCCTGTGTCGTACAAAGGGCAGGTCTCTTGCTGCACTGGGCGCTCTTTTGACAATCCTTTTATTGGCAATCGATACCTTTTTCCAGCAAGTGACCGATTTGCCAGAGCGATGGAAAATCGAGGGCGAAAGCTTCATTCCACGCATTGTTCGTTACGATCCCACTGTTGAAAATCAATACGAGGCTGAAATCGGCGTACCAATGGCGGTAACAAATAACGAATTGAGAAGGGGAATGGTCCCATTTTTCTACGATCAGAATGGTACCCGTCCGCTTACGACGGGAAATGCTACACAAGCCGAGATACCGCTTGTATGCCCTACAGGCAGGTGCGAATGGCCACCTTACGAGACCTTGGGGGTTTGCAGTGCTTGTGAAGACATCTCACACCTCCTTGAATACGGTTGTCTGATGACGAAAATGGACTGGATCAGGGAAGCAGTTGGCCCTGATTTGAACTACACGGCGCCGAAAGGTACGTATACTCGTGTTTTAGTTCTTTCTTGTGTCAAACAATTTGAGAGGTCATCCCTCTCTATTGGACAAAAATAGCACACAGATGTTTCGCAATTGACCTTTCACTCGTCGCTAACTGTTTTACAGATGCCGCCTGTGGCTACTTTATAAACGCAACCAGCGATGACCCTATTCTTATGTCAGGCTTCCGAGTTTCCAACTTCACCGACCCTGTACCGGGTGAAACGCTTCTAATGCGTTCCTTGCCGTTGGTCACCAGTCTGTTCAGGGAAGCTCTCTATGGTAGTGCAACCATCAATTTCGAACATATCCAGTATCGTATACTCGATGCGTTGATAGTGAGCTCAGCAGACGGCACCGCTGAAAGCGTCTACAAGAAAGAGCGACCTGTTGCTCAAGAATGTATGCTAACTTGGTGTGTCAAAACCCTCCGCTCCTCATACCATGATGGAGATTACAGAGAAGAGGTACAGGAGGTGTTCATAAATAATACCAAGGCAGATTTTCCATGGTCAATCGAACATATTGCCAACTCGGAGATAACGGCACAAGACTTTCATCCAAATATCAGCATCCGTCCTCCGTCATTACCAGAAAACATGCCGGCCTTTGGAGTTTCCAACGAGACTTTCTTCGATGTAGCCTTTATCCTCGATGAGATTTTTCCATCCATGATTACAATCTCCAATCCAACAGCGCAGCAATTTATCAAGATATTTGCTAGCCACACGGACAAAGCCAAATGGCGTAGCTTTCGATTCAGTCCTTGGATTGCGCCGAACAACGTTGCTGTTCACCTGGAACGAATGGCCAACTCTATCACAAACGTGATCAGATCCGATACGGGCAGCAACGAACTTATACCCGGTACCGCCTACGCGCGAGAAACATATGTTGCAGTGCAATGGGGCTGGCTCGCGTTCCCATTAGCAATGCTCATCCTCAGTATTGTTTTTCTAGTTTCAACAATCAGGAAGACGTCGAGTGATAGTTACGAAGATCTCGGCACATGGAAGACCTCAGCTATGCCGGCGCTAATGTACAGCCTGCCAAAGGACATACAAGAAGGAGTTGTATCGACAACTCGCCCGAGAGTGATGAGAGGCAAACGCGCGAGCAAGGTTCGGATCAGGCTTTTGCCGAAACAAGGCTGGAGAGTTTCTGGTCAAATTATTGCGAGGCCACCACCTCCACCTGGTTTCTTTTAATGTATATATATGCATGATAGACGATTTACCACGTAACGATTAATGTTCACGCTCTCTGATAATATAAAGATATTTTCCAAATCCCATATCTGATATTAGAGGCCGGCAACTGACATCAAGACCCGAGATGCAGGACAAAATAGGGCTGATGCCCGTTGTCAGTCATGTTCGTACTGAAGCTTTATTGTGAGTAGATACTTTCACCTAGATCTTGCCTTGCCTCGCTTCACAAAAGAAAGCTGACCCAGATTCATGGCCCGAGATTCCTACCCTTTCCCGAAGTGAGGGGCGTACATTCGGCGTGATGCGTAGCCATACCAGAGCGCCAACAGCGAGGCTACGATATGCACACGATGACGAAGCGCACCGTCAGCCTCCCAATGACGGACAGCAAGGCTCTGTCACTTCAGTATGGCCAAAATTCAGCGTCAATCGGCGTGATTTAGCTTGTCCCGTTATCATTATGTCCAGGGCCAAGGTATTCCCAAGTCTAAGAACGCTGCCGCGTTACCGCTCGTTCCTTAATATGACGTCATCTCATCCGGTAGCAAGGCAAGACATTTTGCTCAAAAGATCAAAGGCGACCCACAATCGAAGATCAGATTGTTGAGGCAGGATTGATTGGAGGTTGTTGTTCGGTACCCGATGACACGCTACGACACCACAATGCTCTTACCAAGACGCGTCTCTCACTTCACCTCCGGATACGCATGCCGGGCACAGACTCTAGATAAATTCTATAAGTCGTGGGCAACTGTCTTAGATTTCGGATTTGATTGCACCCGGCGAGATTGTTGTAGCTTCAGTATTGCAGGTGCGCGATGGTGGATGGTGGTGGCTGACGAGCGACGGGTGTCGATTGGTGCCGCCCACCAGCCACTTCATCAGCCACCGTCACGCATCTTGATAAGTGTGCCTTCTCTATATACTCCTACGAAAGCGTACTCTAACGTCCCAGAAAGCACTGCACCAGGTGGTTCACAATACTGATCCGCAGCAAACCTCCCCTCAAGCCGACTGAACCATGGACGGGACATGCCAACCTCCCACACATCAACAACGAGCGAAAACACCTTGCTCAACCTTGCATAACGATTGAACAAGAACTGCACAACGTTCAATACATTGCTAAGCGGCACTTTGTAATAGATATTCAAAGCAAAGAGCTGGCTTCTCAGTGCACCCTGCATGGCGGCGTGATTGAGATCTGCATTTGGATACACCAAACCGCCATTGCCCAAACCGAGATGCTTCTTACGGCAGGGAGGAAACTCGGAGAGATCGCCTCAGCTTCCCTCAAAGTTCCTGCCTCAGAAGTGTTGGGCTAGTTGAACTGACACCGGCTCGATGACTCACAAGCCATATGTGACTTGGAGATCTTTGATAAAGCATCGCGGCAGCGTGGGACGCTGCATTGCTCCTGTATGGCACCAAAGGCCGCTTTTTGGTTGCATTAGGGGCTATCCTAATCCTGTTGCTTCGTATGATTGACGTATTCTTCCAGCAAGCAGTCGCACCTCCGGACAAGTGGTCATCGCATGAGATACCCGGAATTGATGCTGGTTGTCCAAGGCTACCTTTGCAGGAACAGAATGAAAGTAGCCCCATGTGGCAATAGAAGCCTTCCGAATATTTTATTTTCCTGCCCCAAAGTAACTTTACTTGGCCGTAATATGAGACTTTTGCTATTTGAAGCTCCGGCGACGTTGTTAGCGACCTACTCGACATCACCTTTGCTTGGCTCAATACTGAGATAAATCAGAGCACCCAGGGAAGGACCGTTTGACGAAGAGCTCCATTCAAAGGACCAGGTGTGAAGACATTTTTGAACATCACATTATCGCAGCCAATTATTCACTCGACTAAAGATAGCATGAGAATAATGAAAACGATGAAGCCTTACTTCTCAGGACCTTTCCCTTCACAGCTTCTATGACCAGAACCGCTACTAGGGCGTCCGTTCAGTAGTCTCCAAAAATATACGCAACCCTATTCTCGATGCTCTAATCGCCTCTACACCGGATAACCTAGAAAGCGTCTATGCAACGGGACACGGTCACGGCACGAATATTTATTTTCAAGGTGCGTAGAGGTTATGAAATGAGTATATGATCTTGTTCTCACGCTCATTTTCTTGGTCGCGACTATGATGAGAACCGCGAAGGATACGCAAACGGGGATATGGAAGACATCAACTATGCTGATGCTGATGTGAAGTTTGCCGAAGGAGGCTCAGAGGGGACTGGGTCCACCTTCCTCGCGGGGTGGGGTGAACGAGAGGTGTAGGAAGGTGAGGATCATGTTGATGCCGGGGAGGGGGGTGGAGAGTTTCTGGCGCGAATTATGGTAGTGCGTCGGTGCAGGTTCCGAAGCCTGCGGTGGGTGGGCCTCATTGGTGGGTATGATACGAAGTGACCTGGCGAATCCTAGTTTTCTCTTCAGAAGTGTAAACCATGTACCTTTTTGTACATAATCTCTTCCAATTTCGAACCACTTTCTCACATGAATATTCTTCTGCACATGTGCAGTTAAGCTCAAGGCCACTGATGAAGAAAGAAGCCTGCGTAAAAAAAACAGTCAATAAACTAAATATGAGTGACTAGAGAATAAAGAAGCGTACGAAATATTCCGTGTCCAGTCCCTTTATCCGTACAACGATTCCAACAAACGCCGTGGGGTATAATGCATAGCGCCAGCCGTACAATCCCCTTTTTCCCAATCCCTCTTCCCGATTATACACATATACAACCCTATAATTCACCTTTCCAAACTCCCGTGTCCCAAAAGTTCATTACAACAGCCTGCCAGCAGACACATCTTGTACAATTCCCCCCCTCTCTCCCACCACTTTGTTCGTACTCTTCCCACCTTCAAACCAATCTCCCAATAAGCAAGCTCCCATCACTCTCCGTAGCCCTGAGCTCATGATTCCGATACAACGCGTGCACCGGTCTAGTCAATTCCACATTACCCTGGCTATCATAGCTGGGATGTCTGGAATACGAAGCCTCGCTCGCTTCCGGCGGATACAAATGAATCGACGGCGTCTCTCTCGCCCTCTGGTTCGACGACATCTCTCTCTCCATTCGGTTCGACTTTGACGAAAAGAACGATCCGAATCTCGGCCTCGAAGATCTCGACTGGCTATTCTGCGTAGTACTAACCGACGGCGTACGCAATCTTTCCAGCATATTCGATTCCATAGCCTCTTCTCGCGACATGGATCGCGAGCGCTTGTTTGCGGCACGGCCAGTACGGGACATGGAGCGGCGCGGCGCAGTGGTATCTGCTGCAGAAGTAAATTTTTGTGCGATGATGTCGTCGAGCATGGATTTGAAGTCATCCAGGAAGATGGTGTCCGATGCGCATTTGAAAACGAGGGCGAAACGCCAGTAGGGATTTATGCCGCTGCTGGCTGATATTTTTGCTGCGCTGATGGCAGCGTCGGTGAGGACGAAGATGATGGAGAGGATCATGCAGGCTAGCATTACGCTGAAGCGGCGGTTAATTTTGATCAATGTCCACAAGCTAAATGTATATGTCTTTTTAATGGCGTTGATGAGTTTCCAGGTTGTAAAGATCCACCACGGGTCACGGACTAGGGCTTCCCAAGGCCGCGTACGGAGGTTGACTCTGGATCCTGTTGAGAGTTGGTTAAAGTAGGCAAAGTTGGACCAAGCTTCGACGATCCAGAAGGGTTGCACGCAGAGGAGAGAGATGATGAAGAATCGAGAGCCCCAGAGTGGGAGGAATGGCCGGATTTTGAGCCAGGCGACGACATTGTGCAGGAAGTAGGAGATGAAGAGGAGCGTGGCGGTGGATGACAAGTACCATCCATAGTGCGGGTCCTCGAAGAAGATAAAGGTTCCGTGCCAGATTGCGAGGAGAAGCTTTGGATATCAGAACGTGCTTCAGACTAAAGACAGGGTTTGGTCTCACCTCGAGTAGTATGAGTTTATGGAGCAAGATTCCCGATCGGTAGTTGCAGAGGACAATTAATATGAGAACTATGAAGCTGCCCACGTTATATCCCTGTGCCCATGCTTCTAGGAATCCTCCTTCAAGAGTCATGCTGGCTCGCGTGGGTGGTGAAGTGCGGGTTGTAGCTGGCTCGGGCCACCGCTTGCTCATAGCCAGAAATTCGCCATTGATGTTGCTGACCGGCGCCATGATTGAAGTCACCGTTAAATATTAATATGAGCTGTGTCCAGCACTAGAGCCATGTACGGTGGTGCGGGTGCTACGCGATCTCTTTCCAATGTCGCAGTGCCGACGTTCTCGGGTGAGGAGCGCACAAAAGAGTGAATTAACAGCTGATGGGTAAAGTAACCCGGGGATCAATTTTCTTTGCATACGGTGAATGTGCTGCAATGTGGGGACATCCTGGAGTAAATGCCACACTCAACAATAGGCCAGGCTGTAGTGTGGCGGTCGAAGAGCGGTCTGGCAACGGACAGAGCGAGGCTGTCGAAAGTGCTGACTGCAGCGTGCATCTGAGTGGACGCATGCGATACTTCTGCCATTGCAACGGGCAAGCCATCTTGTAAGATCTGACCAAATTATTGCGGAAACGGCGTTTCCGTCCAGCTTACCCGCCGCATGCGCATGCCAGCAAATGAGGTGCGGCGTATGCGATGCGTTGTCGATCGGGTGTGATGTCAGTCGTGGCTGAGGCGTGGTACGTAGAGACGGCCGGAAATAGTTTGACACGACAGCCGAAAGCCCTCTTTTGACTCATTAATATGTATGTTGGCGAATTTTCTTTCAAGCCTCACTTGCTAACCTGCCCTCCACGGCCAGTTGATTTTACAAAAACACTTCGTGGGCAGTCACTATCTTAGGTGAAACGTCATCGGTGTAAGCGTATTCTTGACGCAACAATATAGGTAAACGAGGTGAAGGCCCCATGCCGTGTCCGGCTATGAGGTAAGCCATGGCGCGTGATAAACATTCAAGCCGTTTGGCCAAAGATTGAACCGGGTAACGGAAAGGGCAACCCCTAGACATTTCAATACATCATGTCAGAATTCGGAACATCGGATGCGTATACAGTATGTACAGCCTGTGTGCCGCTATTGGCTTTCAAGGACCCTCTTGGCACCGTCACTGATGCGCTTAACCTCAACATGGCCCTTCTTAACCACGTCTTCCATTAACTTCTTGGCCTTTTGGATATCATCCGGGAGCACTTCGCGGTTGACGTCGTACTTTCGGAGCTTCTTGTTGTGTTCCTGCCGGGCCTGTTGTATGAGCTTGTCAGCACGCTCGGCAGCCTTGACAGCCGACTCGACCGCTGCACGACGTGATTCTCCAGTTGGGGGCGGCAGAGGGACCTGGATGGTTAGAGGATTGGAGGGTTCGGGGGCGAGAGGTGTGAGAGAGTGTGGTGAAGCGGCAATGGCGGTTGTTATAGGCTTGATGTGCTGGTGAATGTTAGCCTGAACATGATACAGTCGCATACCACGGATGCTGTCGGAACATACCCCTTCCTCTCCGCAGATGACATTCAGTACTCTTCCTCTTGGAACAACTTGGGCAATATCTCCCAACCTTACAGTCTCTTTGCCATGTCCAGCCGTGCCCAATTGCACCTTCAAGCTCTCTACGATATCCGGGTTGAGCTTCCCTCCGCTGCGTAGCTGACTCAGCTCATGCGTGAGCTTCTCAATTGCTTTGAGTATCTGCGACTCCAGCCCAGAGACGTCGTAGGCTTCATCGGTGGGGGTTGGTGCAACACCTTTGTTCACTGGTGGGTTCGAGTCGGTTCGGGCGTGTGATCTATTCGCTTTACCCGCCTTTTTCTGCAGCTGCGGGTTTGAGGAGAACCCGCGGGCGGTGTGCGAAGAGCATTGTGGTGTTGTGAAGCGGAGAGCAGGCCTAGGTGGTGTGAGCAGGGCGGAACTTTCATGTTTGCGCCAAGCAACATTGGAGCTTACAGAATGCGGCCTGGCGCCTCAATGAGCCTCAGTGATGTGCGAGAGGTGCCATGTAAGCTGTACCGTAGGGCTACGCGTGAAATGGCAAGCTGTGACATGGTGATGCGGTTTTGACAGTGGTGGATGGTTGCTACTACACATGCTTGGGGAAGCACAGACAATTAGCATGCGGCGGGAACAACGTCATCGCGCCGAAGCAATTCCTCACGAGATCAACTATGTCCTCATGGAAGATACTGGTATTATCGTACCGAGAGAATCATTGTTCACATAGTGGCATGGCCATGCAATTTATATTACCCCATCATCCCTCCTAGCCTCCACCTTCTGCTGCAACCGTCAACAGTTCTAACAGTGTGTGCCTCTTCTCCTTTTCACTCCGCATCATGCACGTCGCTGTAGCCATAAACACTTGGTACAGCGTACTTTTTCTCAGTCTCAGTACTCTCTCATTCCTCATATTCTCCTCCAATTGCCCCTCGTCAGAACTTAAGTCGAGCATTGAGGGGGCGTATGCATCGACTAAACGCAAGATTGTGTCATCAAAAAACTCCAGAGTGCCATTCTTCTTGGCTGCGATGGAGCAGGTATATTTCCCCAAACACAGCTCATTCTGTTGGTGTTTCTTGCCGTCAACGGTTGGGAGTCTGGCAACGAGCTTCAAGTGATTGAAGCGCAAGAACAGGCCACAAGCTCGCGATTCCTTGACCGAAGCTGTCCCTTTCCAGTAAAAATCAATGCCCATGTAATGGAAGTGATAGCATCGAGTATGGCGAGACAATGGACTTATCCATCGCAAGTGAACGACCTCTTCAGCTACCGCGGGTTTCTCATATTCGAGGCCCTTGACTTCCAACACATCGGGATCCGGACCTTTACCTGCCTCTCGGTTCGCTCTGACAGTGTGTACATATTCTTTTCCCGTTTCTCCCCAAAGCCTCCATCCCCTGATTTTGTAGCCCTTGAGCTTTTGTTCATCGGCTTTGAGTGCCTTCTTGTCGCCTCCATTATGGCGCCATGAGACTACGCCGCGCGGGTCAATCACACCTGGTTGGCTGATTGACGGTCCTAATTGTAACTTGTAGTCTCTCCAGAAACAACCGTCGTGTATAAGGACAGCGGGCTTCGCTGTGTACTTACTACTGCCCGTGTACAGAACTCGAGGCGGTACATGGAACGATAGGTATGGTTGCTGCATAAAGAAAGCATTTTCATCCGGCTCAACGGGGGGCAATCCGGATTTTTTGCGCTCCTGTTTCTGCAAACGCTTCGCTTTTTGTTCTTTTTGATTTGGGCCACACCATCTCTCTTTTCCCGGGTCCATCACTGGCGAAATACACTTGTGACATTCCTTCTCGGAGTATACATGAAAAGTTGATCGTGGGTTGGTGGCATTCTCAGACTGCACAGTCGTCTCTGGACGAACGCGATTTACTTCAACCTCATCAAGTGGGGATACGGGCGTGACATCCGTCATAGGGATCTATGATATGTTAGAAACTCACATAATAGAAACAGATTTACTGATGTTTATCTACCTTTGGATCTTCCTTCTCGCGCTCAGAAATCACAGTGGTATGCTTCTGCTTTTCCATGTTTGTTTGTAATTTCTGCCGAAGCAGCGGATATCTCATTACTCAGTGTTATGTGACAGTTTTAAATGAACGGGAAACCGCTTAAAGACTTTGATATTCGTGTTGCTTGTATACCTCATGGTTAATTGCGCCAAGCTTTGTTGTGGAGGCTGAGCTGCTCGCATTGCTCGTATCGGAACATTCATACTGGTCGTCCAATCAACACAACAACTGCTCAAAGGGCCCAGGTGCAACGTGATAAATCTATTGGAGGCGGTATCATGTGGACATATGGGAAGGAAATAGAGAGCCCTTTTCGAGTAGTTCGCAAGGCAGACTTCGAAAAACCCAAAGCCATCCCTGGTCTTACTACCCGAATCTGAGACTTGGTTTCACCAAGATCCAATCAACAAACTATTCTCCTACCGCAAAGCCTAGTGCATCTGTGAGTCTCTCTTGACCGTCATGATTGCCATGAAAAGTTGCATGGCTAGAAGTTGAGGGTTGGTAGCAGTGAGGTCCCGTACTCCTGTTCATGGTTTGGCGTAACGTGGACCCACGTCATTTTTCGACGGAACTAACAAGTTCACATTAGCAGCAAGTAATGAGCGGATGACAGATAGCTTAAATGTAAACTAGTGTATTAGATGTAAATAAGTGGGAGGCTCAATCGCCCGCGGGAGAGCCTCGGCAGAAATCCACTATCGATAACGACGACGCGCTAACCTTTGAACTTATCTTCATGACGTGAGAGATGCAATGTTTAGAGTTACTTTGCATTCCGATCCATTCCTTCGCCACGATACGGCCCATTGCTGAAGTTCCCTGTATGCCCGTATCCAAGCTGCCCAGAAGATATATTTGTGCAGGCTCCCTGCGCACAAAACGAAGACCACATGTCTTCGCCCCAGTTCGAGCCGTCGCGGGCGGCAATGTAAGGTGGCATGGACAAGCGGCGACCCAGGACAAGGAGCCCAACGATGGTGGCAATCGCATTGGGGATCTAGAAGAGAGGGGTTCAATTGGGAAGACTGGAGAAGAGAAGGAAGAGGGAGCTCTGACCCGGCGACTGCGAGACATGAGCGAAGAAGCCTTGGTGTCTGGTGGACATGGCGCAATCAAAGCTGTTGAAGAAGCTGGATTCAGTCCGGATCTCAAGGCACAGTTGGAGCAACGCATTGCCGCCGCCAACCTCAGATCGTCTGAGGCAGAGCTTCCCGCCTCTGCATCTCGCCACACGCGCGACCTTGCTACTGCCAACGCATGGAGTGGCACTGAATCTATCCACGATGCCAGTTTGCGCATGCTGAACGATGCCCACAAGCCCATGCGACTGGGCCGCCCACCAAAGATACCTGGTGTACAACCACCACAGTCGATCGATACCGGTCACAAGCGCGGCAAGGGAGGCAGTGGGTTGCGGCTGGCGAATGCTCGCGACAGGAGCTTGGTGTATACGACATTGGTGGAAAACGGAGACATCGACGCTGCAGATCGTGAGAAGCGGCTCCAAGAACTTAAGGATCGATTCGAACCTGGTGCACGCGCCATTGTCCCTGGAACGATACAAGGCCTTGCTTCGCTTGCAAATAAGAGAATCGAGGACGCAATCGCCCGTGGACAGTTCAAGAACATCCCTCGAGGCAAAAATGCTAATGTCGAACGGGACTACAATGCATCCAGCCCCTTCATCGATACGACCGAGTACTTCATGAATAAGATTATCCAAAGACAGGAAATAGTGCCGCCATGGATTGAGAAACAACAGGAACTTACGTCAGCGACGAGGAAATTTAGAACTCGTTTACGCGCAGACTGGAAGCGACATGCGGCGCGTATGATAGCCAGTAAAGGTGGCACGCTGGTGGAGCAGGTGAGGAGAGCTGAGGCATATGCCAAAGCTGAGCTCATTTCGAATCCATTGAAGAGGAAGCAAGAAACCTTTACCACCACAAATGACGATGGTCACATGTCTCAAATTTCGTTGTCAGGAGAACTTAAAGTATCTCCACCAGCTGAAGATCCCAAATCTGAGCCAGTTATTGTGGAACGGGTAGTAGCTGAGAAGGTCACCCTTGACGCTTCTCCGGAAGCCGTAGCCCAAGATCCTTCTAGGGTTTCTGTGGAAAGTGTTTCGAAGGAAACCATGGAAGTGCCACTTAAAACTCCGGAAGCAACAGTGCCTCCAGCGTCACATCCTTTCCGGGATCCAGACTGGGAGCGTATTGAAGGTAGCTACCTAGCTGTAGCAATCAAGGACCTCAACGACAAAGCGCGCAGTTACAACCTGCAGGCACCGGAGCTAGCCAAAAGACCCTACTTCAACCTCCAACGCGAGCTGAACTCGTGCTTCGCCGACGTTGCGCCCCAGCTTCCTGCAGCCATCATTGAACGGACGCGGAGACCGCCGAAGAAGACAGACACTGGGTACACTTCTGGTCAGAGGAGTGTTCTCGACAACATCATTGGCGGCCCCGTTCGCGTGCGAGATGAGCGTCGAGAGAAGCAGTATGGCTTCAAGCAGTTTTGGAAAGACCTCTGGGCCGACAAGTCAAGCAATCCGTACTAAGCCACACATGACACTTGAGCTGATCGCCCTTCCGCGGCATGCTCCATTGATTCGCCCATATTTCAAATATCACTTCCCTTCGCGGTACCGAGAAGACTGATCGACAACCTCTTCGCCTACCCTGGCATGCAGGGCGCAGCAAAGCCCACAAGTCAGCATCATATACGGTATTTGCTTTTTCTTCTCCATGCGCCCATCACAACATGCGCATACGTTCGAAATAGGAAATTGACAACCTTATAAAGGATTCCCATACCATTTTATCCGGAATAGGATTCTGTCCTGCAGGTGCGTTACCAGGCCCTCGGGTCGATAATGCGCGAGTGAGGCGGTGGGGATTGATCGACAAGAGACCACGGCCATTGGACATGACGAGCAGGCAGGGGTCAGCACAACACCCGGAGGCGACTTTTGCGAGTCGTTTACACTAGGTGTACAAATTCCGGCAAGTGTAACCGTGCAAGTGCACAGAGCTGCATATTTTAGCATCTCCTGCTCGGTGATCCCGCTGCTGGCGGATGTGCAGGACTCGGGTCGGCAAAAAACAATTGTATACAATGAAGAACCCTTTTCCCACCCACCACCTCACACACACACACATCCTTACGCTAGAATCGTTTCGTGATTAGTCTCCAGGTCTGGTACGCCCTCCTTTGGTTTGCCACTGTGCAGTGAGATACACATTTCAGCTGGCCATTAATCTTCCAGACGAGTGATTGGATACGTTGTCGAGAATGAGACCACCTCATCGCACCACTTCATCGCACCACTTTATGGCAACACTTTTCCTCATTCCAGCCGCAGTCTCTCTTTACCCGACCTCATCATCCCCTCTGCATAGACTGCATGATGGTATGTGCGCCGCCATACGCTTACTGGCAATCCATTGCTTTGCCCGCAAACTGTGGGGGAGCATAAAAAGAAAAAGATACGCCCTGTAACGCGCGTAATGTTTCCCCCCTTCGCCCTCAACTCCCTTTCAAGGAAAACAAGAAGCAAGTTTCCAACCCGTCACACTCGGCACCCCGATTCTATGATGTGCATACCATCCCATGCACAGACTGCCGGGGTTAGCCCGCCTACCGTATGAACGGAACGCCTTTATTTGTTGTTTTGTAACAACTGGTTTTACAAGTTTGGTCTTCGTTTTTCTTGCCGTTTCGGAATTATACGGTCGGCTGGTCGGCTCGCCGCTGTTATGCGCGTCTTGCTCGGGTTCAAAACAAAAGTTGCAATCGCCGATGCGGCAAACCGTTGGGGTGGTTATGCCTGCTGTGTGACTGAACCGGGCCGTCGCTTTTCTTTTTCTTTTGGATATGTCTTGTTGCTTTGGGGTGTATTATGTATTTTTGGTGGTTTCAGTGTGTTCTTTGGACGGTATGCTAAAGGATATGTTGTGGCGATTCGTCAAAGTATATTGAACTAGCATGTGTATGCACACGCATTGAGAATACCGCCCGAATCACTTCCAAATGCCGACATGTTTCGGAACCAAATCTAGACATTTCGCAAGGGTTTCCAGAATCACTGTTCTACATTCAGACATGCAGGCTATATTTTTTGCTGTTGCCTAAATAGTGTCTTCGATGATGCATCCAAGTCTCTTTTCCCCATATGAAAGCAACCTATACGTATCCTGGGAGAAGATCACCCGCGTCAATCTGATAAGGGCAAAGTAAAGCAAAGAGAAAAACCAAACGCCCTGCACTACCAATCCGGCAGCCACCTTTTCTTCTGCCGACTTTCCACGCACACCCCAGCCGCTCACCATACCTATCATCATCTCCCCACGTCGGCGATACATGGATCATACCAAACAAGCATCATATCCTTCACAAAGGTGCCACAACCAAATGCGACACCCACACCCTCACAAACCATGATGCACATCACGCCAAAAGGGCCTGAAAAGCAAAACCCGAGACCCCCATTTTCCCCCTCCCATATATTCATTCCCAAACAGTCACACGTCGCACAAGCCGAGGCATGATTGCTGCAAGCATGTTAATTCCTGTATTGAGAAAAAAGGTGAACAAGTAATGCACAAAGGAAGAAAAGAAAAAACGAAAGAAAAAAAGAGTGTAAGTCTATGCAATGATCTTCCTAGACACCACTATTCCAATCCTTGGTGAACATCGCTCTGGGTGTTTTTTTAGTGTGTGCCTTGCGCAGTCCAGTCCAATCTAGTCCAGCCCAGTCCAGTCCAGCACACGTACAGGCAACAAACAAACCACACCCTCGCATATCCCATCCTAGAGAGCCCTGAATACAGGTTTTTTTTTCTTTGCACTACACATGTATATGCATGCGTGAAATGTGTAACAACGCATCCAGCCACACACACACACACACACCCTTCCACAAACAACGTATATAACCACTCCTTTGCTTTTTCCCTCCCATCACCGACGACGATGACAGCCGCGCAGGCCAAAAAAAAATTGGAGGGACGATCCTGGCGCCAAGTCTACCTATTTGAGCAACGCAAAAAGTAAAAAAAGCAAAAGAAGGGTAAGAAAAGCCCTCACGGACAGCCCGTTTGCGGAAATGTCAGAAAACGTCCCTTTTATGCACGGGGGTGGGCGCGTGTGTGGGTGTGGGTGTGGATGTCGTAAGCCATCCAGTCCAGCCAGTCCAGCCAGCCAAGCAAAAAAGAGAGATAGAATGAGGGACTAGGATTGGTTCCATTTTTTTTCATTTGCTTTGCTTTGCTAATATGTATGTATTGTATGTGGATGTTTCAGTACAAACAGCCGCTGTAATTTTAACAGAAAAAAAACAAGAAGAAGAGACTAGAGGTGGGTTAGAGAAACGTGCTGATCCTGGTTCTCTTGGAATTGAGGCGCGAGGGATGTGTGAGGGGGGGGGGTGTAGAAGCGTTACGTTGACAAGAGAAAATTCCATGATTGTTGGATGGACAGCGGCGTTCGTGTCCGAGACGCATAATTAAACCCTCCACTCACCATTCACGCGCGCACACCCATCCGTATACACACATTTGCATACGGCTTTCGTAGCGCTATCACAGTGCAGTCTGACACGGAAGATGGGATTTCGTGGTCAGATTGCTGTATTTCCTGCGACCGCTCGTCCGCATGCGAATACGGTTGTCGGTGTTGATCTTCCGGTTGACGCCCGTGACGACCCGAGCGTTGGGTAGAACGGCGTCTACGACGTGCGTTTCCGTTGCGGTTATAGGGTGTGTTTCCTTCTTTGACTTTCTGTGCGTCTCGCTAGCGTGGCTTTTTATGCAAAAGGTTTTCGCAGCGACATCATGCGTCGGCTTGCCTGCGCCTTCGTATGGCTGACAGAAGCAGATGCGCAACACATGTCCGGCTACCGGTCCGAGGAGTCCTGTCTTGCCTTCTAGTCTTACGTGCCGGCTGGGTAGGCGCTTTCTGTCAGGAGTAGCGACGGACACACGTTTCCGTTTGTGAGGCATGCTAGTGTGTATGATTGCTTCGTCTTGCTTACCGAGATTTCTTCCTTTCGCTGTTGTTGTGCTCATGACTGTCATCAATCGGGCTCTACGAGACCTCGCTTTCAATCTGAAGTTGTCTTTGAACAGCCTTACCGACCTGTCTCTTCTGTACCGATGTTGTGCTTTTGTATTTCCGTACGGTTGGCGCGTCTGAGTGTTGATAGGGAGCGTCCCGGTCCGTACAATGCCGTCGCATCTTTTGACCGCCAGACCAGTATCGTTGAATGAATGCGTATATTCTATTTCAGGATTGATCTGCGACTTTTCAGGACGTCTGTAGTTGTGGTGGTGTCGCAAGTTGGCAGGGACTGGTACCGAAGATGTGGGTGGAGTCGTCATTGGTCTCAGGGAAGGTCGTGGAGGAGGTAGACATGTTGCTGGAAATATACTATAGGAGACAGGGGTAGGATTTATGCTTGCAGATGCATTGGCCACGGGCGAGCTGCTGAAGTCGGAAGCGCTTGTTGTACCGGGCGAGGAACTACCCTCTGGCTGGATCAGGCGACCGGATGGTGAAAAGAATGATATTTTCGGCGTCTCATAGTTTCGTTGAACTATTCCCGAGGCTGCTGCTATTGGAAGCAGAGTCGCCAGAGCAGATGAGGTAATGGACCGACGTGGTCGTTCCGTTTCTGGCGACTGTTTGGCTTCAGGGGATCCAGAAAGTGAAGCATGTCGCTCCGGCTCTGTCACTTGAGGGGTGAACCATACCGGTGCTACAGGTGTAGATGAAGGTGAGTGGTACATCTTCTGAGGAAATTCGTGTTGAAGATCGACATCTACACCAACCACACTACCGGAATATGAAGTGGATGCAGTGCTACAAAAGCTGGCATTTTGACTAGCGTCTCCTGCGCGATCAACCTCTATCCAGGAATTAGTAGCATCACTCGACACAGAGACTCCATAAAAGGCATTCCCTTCTAGATTGGAATTTCCTCTTTGGGTTGAGATTTTCGAGACATTGTCGTGACAGCCCTCTTTTCCAGTCGAAGGTTTTGACAACGGATGTGTAGCTCCGATTTGGGTGTGCGACGAGAGCATATCCTTGTGCAAGAGCAAGTCTAGACGAGCCGAAGGTTTAAAGGCTGTGTTCAGAGTCCGCCCATCCCTGTTTTGATGTTGATGAGCTGGCAATTGAGTCACGTCCAGGGGCGCAGAGGGTACACCAGCTGGTGCAGCTAACACCGTATTTTCCGACTCGAACCTATCAGGGCCACATAACTCACTGTTTGGGGTATCATCGCTGGTCTTTTGCCGGTTATGATGATGCTCAGCGATAGGTGTATGCGTTGAGGACGACCTGGACCGGGTTCGTGAGACAGCTCGGACGTTGTGAATTACACCACGGACAAGATCCTTGACATTTTTGCTATTTCTGTCACAGTCTGTCTCCCCTGTTTGATGTTGTAAAGCTTGTGGGCGATCCAAAATGGTGTGTAAAGATGGAGTGGTGGTTTTATCCTGCGGAGACAAGCTGCCGATATCCTTGTATGATGGCGTGGAAAACTCTCGAGTGGTTGGATCTAGAACTGACTCTAGCTGCCCATTTTCTATATTGAGCTGGAGGGTACGCCCATCGAGACGCGACGAGGCCCTGGGTAAAACATAGTAGTTAGGTGACGTATTTTCCACCACCCGCAACGAGGCATACGGACAGACACTGAGGAGGGAGCCGTGGGAGTTTAGCGTGGAGCAGGAACCTTGCTCAACAATAGTGGCAAGAGGAACGCCATTGGATCGATTTGCGAGCCGAAATGCAAGATTGATAGGCACAGCTCTACCTCTTGCGTACTGTTGTTGCCTTGGGCAGTCCTGAACGTCGTCTACTCCGGAGGTGTAATGGCGGATGCAACCATTACGATCTGGCGCGAAGCCAGGCTGACTACTCGCTTGCAAACGTGATGAGCCTCTGTCGACCAAGGCTTTTTGATGGGTGAGGGACTCTTGACGTAGTGCATGTTGCGAAAAAGCGTGCGGATTCGCATTCCCTCCATGCAACGTATCCATGGCAGCAGCGTGGGAATCGTATCGTGCAGTTTTAGCTCCACATGCGGGCTGCCGGTGATTACTGCGATGCAGTGGACCGGGGTTGTTGAGCCGGTGGATGGGTGTCATGCTCGTGCCATGTCGTCAATGTACTTATGCCCAAGATGAGATGCGATGGATACTTGGATCGTAGTGTGCATGAAGGCAGGACCTGGTGGATGCAACCCCAATATCGTCATGCTGTGGGCACTGCAGCGATCCTGCACGCTTCTTTACCAACGTCCTTCCCGATGATGCAAGTCGGCAGCTGTGGTTGCAGTTGCTCGGCCCATGGCTGCCTAGACAAATAGAGTAGATTCGCACCTGAGGCTCGCCCGGCAAACCCGTATGCATGTGTGACCATGGTAGGCGCAGTCTCGGTTTCTGCTACGGGCAAGCGAGAGAAAGATACTACTGTATCTGACTCGGCAGTACATGGGCAGCACAGGCCAATCAAAATGCTCCGCCCATGGGGCCCCCCCTAAGACTCCAGACGTTTCCGCTTTGTCGCAAACGCCAGGGAAAAGCAATACCAGCTGTGCTTGTCTCGGTGTGTGCTCCTTTGTTCAGCGGGCGGCCTTTATTTTTCGCGTCTCGGTTGGGTACTAACAGTGGCCGTGTGCAAACTGGGCAGAGCATATTGAGTGGCGCCTCGCCGGCCGGCTCAGAGTACGAGCCACTGGGCAACAGGACACGATGCTGATCGGCTAGTCGACGACTCATTGTAGCCTGCCAGTGTGAAGAGAAAAGATGGACAACGGCCCTTGAGGATTATCAACACGGTGGCGCGGCCAGGTGGGACTAGGACGGACCCTTGCATAGCGTGTATTGCCTGCCCACCCCTGCAAAGGAATATGCCTACGAACCTAGTCTTCATCCGCCAGAACATCCGCGACCCTCTACGACGCCACTTACACGAACAAGGTGGGCTGACGCTTTCTCTTGCTGTGCCCGTGTACCCTATGTCCCCAAGACGGAAGGCGTCATGGCGTTCCCTGGAAATCCGCTTGTGGCGTCAAACCACACGTCAGCTTCACTGAACGTGCGGCACCTGCGGTTAACCCACTTTGGCTTCCGCAATAGGGCGTGTCAGCGACCCGAGCGCATCCTGAGCTTGACTCTGGCTGCCATTAGCTGATAGCTTGTTCCTTGTCATGTTCGCTCCACAAACTTCCAATACAGCACGCGAGCGGTTTGTGGCGGAGCCAATATAGCATGTCTAAACGGTCAGACAAGTCCAGCTGCTTGAGCCCTCAGGGTTTGTATCAAAGCTCCATGGCCACGCCGAATGCACAACGCTTGTGGCTTGTCGCTGATTTGCACCTCAATCCTCGTCCACTAAAACGTTGCGCCTGCATCCGTACACACTGCGAGTAGCCACGAAACGCCTCCTGGGAGTAGAATGACGAAGGCTTCAAAACTATGTCGTGTGGAGACGCCAGGGGTGAATCTCCCTATCTCTCTCTCTCACTCTCACACACACAAATTTCCAAGCAAGTTCGGTACGTAGGAGGTCGTAGTCATAGACTAGCTGATCCGACCACCTATACCATTACTTTGTCTTTGGCTCTTCTTCGGCGGCTTCAATCTGTTCTCGGATTGTGGGGAGGTTTTCGGAGCCCC